AAATCCTTGTTTTGTTTTGTCAAATTGAAAATAAACCGATAAATACTCACATGACTGCTTTATATCCAGACAACAGAACTCTTGGATCAATAAAAATGTATGTAAAAATGAGTTAGTAGGTGTTTTCATCGCCATTTCTTTCCAAATTTTCACATCGTCGAGCTAAAAACCTCTGAGCCAGCAAAACTTTATAGTCAATAATATACCGCATTACACAGGAAGACCGAAAGCAGCCTGCTAAATCACGAACCGTCCAAGTTATCCAATGCCATATTGACGCAGCTATTACACAGTCACTGAGGGTGGTCACTGCCATAGATTTGTTTACGTCCTCAGTGGTTCTTTTACGTCCACCTTATAACAGGGTTAGAGTGAAAGCAGACGGGACCTCCGGCTTTACGTCCGTATCCGAGAAGACGAGGCAGTGAAAGAGTAAAGTATGTTGGAATTTATCAAATAATTCACCAAATGAAGATTATAACAGTTTCAGTAAACAATTCAGCAACTTGTACAATGAATGTTTTCCACTCAAACAAAAAAGACAATCAAGATTCAATGACAAACCATGGATAACAACTGGCTTACAAAAATCAATTAAATACAAAAATAAACTTTACAAGAGATTCATTAAATCACCAACAACTAGAAACCACAAGAGATTCAAAGATTATCGCAACAAATTAAACAGTCTACTTAGAACTTCAAAACGACAGCATTATTTCTTAACATTAGAGAAGTCAAAATCAGATATAAAACAAACATGGAAAATCTTAAATGAGCTGCTAAAAACTAAGAAATGCAAGAAAACATACCCTAATATTTTTAAAATTAATAATTAACAGGTCTCAGATCCCCACAAAATTGCAAATGAATTTGTTCAATATTTTACAAGCATTGGTAGTAAATTATTATCTGATAGCATACAGGAAACTAATATCGATGTCAAAAACTATCTAAGAGGAGATTATCAACAAAGCTGTTTTTTCGATCCAACAACACCAAATGAAATTGAAAAAATTRCCTCTACACTAAAAAACAAAAATAGCTGTGGTTTTGATGAAATAAATGTCAAAGTTATCAAAGCAACAATGCCATTTTTATCAAACATTTTAAGCAATTTGATTAACTCATCTCTTCAAAATGGAGTTTTTCCAGATGCACTTAAAATAGCAAAGGTTATACCACTATTCAAATCTGGTGATAAAAATCTGACTACAAACTACAGACCAGTATCAATCCTACCATGTATATCAAAAATATATGAAAGAGTTGTCTATAACAGACTTATCTCTTACTTAGATAAAAATAACATCTTAAATAGAAACCAATATGGTTTTAGAAGCAACCACTCAACTTCAATGGCCATTATAAATTTTGTGGAAAAAATATCAACTTCAATTGATGAAGGGTATACCACTACTGGAATTTTCCTAGATCTATCTAAAGCTTTTGATACAATAAATCACGATATCCTATTGAAAAGGCTTCACTTTTATGGGGTTCGTGGATTACCTTTAAAATGGATAAAAAACTATCTTTCTGATAGGAAACAATTTGTAGACTTRAATAATATACACTCAGAAATGCTTCAAATAACATGTGGAGTTCCTCAAGGGTCAATTCTTGGCCCTCTGTTGTTCTTGATTTATATTAATGATGTTTGTAACTCTTCGGAGATCCTTAATTTTACATTATTTGCAGATGACACAAATGTGTTATATAAATCAAAGGATATTAAAAACTACAACTCAATATTAAGTGAAGAATTAGATAAGTTGTCGATATGGTTCAAAAGTATTATAAATTGTCAATAAATGTTAAAAAAACAAATTATATGGTATTCAGAAACTCGAAAAGAAGAAAAGTAATATCAATTAATGTGGAAATAGATAGGATTAAAATTGATAAAGTTAATGAAACAAAATTTCTTGGAATTATTATAGATGATCAGTTGAAATGGAAGTCACAAATCAATCATGTATGTTCAAAAATCTCCAAAGGTATTGGAATGATAAACAAGATAAGATTCCTTCTCCCAAAAACAACACTCAAAACTCTCTACTACACACTAGTATATC